TATGTCTCAATATAAAGAAAACAAAAATCCTCACAACTGGACCAATGAGCAGCATCACAATAAATGGAGAGAAGATTGAGGTTGTCAAAGAATTCACGTTCCTTGGTTCTACAATCGATGCCAATGGAAGCAGCAGTCAGGACATTAGATGACCTGTAGCACTGGGAAAGTCAACTGCGAAGAAACTGTTTCAAGTGCTGAGGAGCAAGGATGTCTCCTTGAGGACTAAGGTGTACCTGACAGAAGCCATGATATTTCCAATTGCCTCGTATGTATGTGAGACCTGGACAATGAATAAGGAAGACCGAAAAAAGAGTTGATGCTTTTGAGTTGTGGTGCTGGCGAAGAAAGCTGAAAGATGGACTGTTAAAAGAACTAATGGATCTGTCCTGGAGGAAGTGCACCCGAAGTGCTCCTTGGAAGTGAGAATGGCCAAGCTTCGTCTCACCTATTTTGGTCATGTTGTCAGAAGGAACCATTCCTTAGAGAAGGATGTCATGCTTAGTAGGGTGGAGAGTCGACTAAAGAGGGGGAGGCCTTCAACGAGATGGATTGACACGGTGGCTGCAATGATGGGCTCAAGTATAGCAGGGATTGTGGAGCTTTTGCGGGATCGGGCAGTGTTTCGCTCTGCTGTGCATGGAGTCACTATGAGTCGGAAACGACTCTACGGCACCTAACAACAACATCTTCATTTATGACAATCTAGTTTGGATTAACACCAACTCAATTTCAATAGTATACAAAAAATGTGCTTCTACATAGGTCTGTTCCTCCCCCCACACACACTTATGCTGTTACTGTCACAAATTACGTCTTTATACACATGTGCTCATCAACATAGATTCATAATAATTGCTTTATGTAGTTATCTTTCAAATCAAATAGGGAGAAAAGGAAGTAAAAACAAAAAAAATGATACATTAATACTGTCTTTTGTATTTACCCATGCAAATAGCTGTGTTCTTTGTTTCTTTAGCTGCGTTGTTTGTTTCTTTAGCTGTGTTCTTTGTTTCTTCCTGTGAATTCAAGTTACTATCTAGCATCCTGTCATTTCAGCCTGAAGCACTGCCTTTAGCATTTTTTGGACAGCAGTTCTGCTTGCAAAAACCTCTCTTGGTTTTTATTTATCTGGGAGTGTGGTAATTTCTCCTTCATTTTGAAAGATAGTTTCGCCAAGTGTAGAATTCCTGGTTGACAGTCTTTTCTTGTAGCACTTTGAATATGTATACCTGACCTTCTGACCCCTGTGGTTTCTGATGAGTAATCAGCTGTCAATCTTACTGTAATATTCTTTGAAAATATCATTTTAAATGACAGCATAATTTTCCATTTTATACATATACTGGTAGCGTAGTGCCTAAGGTACTTGACTGCTAACCAGAAGGCTGGCAATTCAAACCCACCAGCCACTCCTCGGAAGGAAGGTTGGGCAACCGACTTCCGTAGTGATATTGCCTCGGAAACCAAGGAGGGGTCACTGTGAGTCGGGTCCGACTTGACAGCACATAACAACAACAACAACGTACTTTATTTGAAAGGAGCTCTGGTGGAGTAGTGGTTACGGTGTTTGGCTGCTAACCAGAAGGTTGGTGGTTTGAACCCACCAGCTGCTCTGCAGAAGAAAGATGAGGCAGTCTGCTTCCATAAAGATATTTATAGTCTTGGAAACCCAGTGGGGGTCGTTATGAGTCAGAATCAACTCAATGACAGTGAGTTTTGTTTTATACTTTATTTACCCATCCCCCTACGATGGTTTAATTTTTATGTAAGCTTATAAATAAAGACACACATATGTATTCTAAATACTCCTGTGTCTGTCTCACCATGACCTTCTGCACACTCCCTATCTAAGTTACTAGCAATAATAGGTTGAGGGTGGGAGTGAAAAGGATGGTGATATCTGTTAGGAAAGCTTCATGTGAGAGAGACCTCAAGCGCACCAAGGTTTTGGAGTGGTTGGCATCACAGCCTGGGTAAAAGGCAATCTGCATGCAAGTATCTTCTTCCCAGCCTTGTGCATGTACATGGCTACTTTTCAGTGGTCAGGAGAGGCAGTGGCATAATGGACTCAAGCTCACCTTCTTGTCCAGGCTGAAGTTGCTGCCTGACTATATATAATACTTTTGGGGGTAAAAGCTTTATTGAGATAAAACCCAGATGCCATATCCATACAGTTCAATGGCATATCAGTATATTCACAGAGTTGTACAACCATTACCACAATATTAGAATATTTCATCACCTCAAAAAGAAATGTTACATCTTTGAACAGTCATTCCCAGTCCCCTCTTCCCACAACCCTGTTGTTATTGTTATGTGCCATCGAGTCGGACCCAACTCATAGTGATCCCTCCTTGGGTTTCTGAGGCGGTATCACTACGGAAGTAGATTGCCCAACCTTCCTTCCAAGGAGTGGCTGGTGGGTTTGAACTGCCGGCCTTCTGGTTAGCAGTCAAGTGCCTCAGGTGCTATTCTACCAGAGCTCCTACAACCCTAGGAAACCACTAATCTACTTTTTGTCTCTATAAATTTGCCTGTTCTGCACAATTCATATAAATGGAATCATACCATATGTGATCTTTTGTGATTGGCTTCCTTCATGTAGCATAATGTTTTCAATGTTCATCCATGTTGTGGCATATGTCAGTATTCATTTGTTTTTATTGCCAAATAATGTTCCATTGTATGTGTACACCACATTTTGTTTCCATTTATCAGCTGATGGACATTTGAGTGGTTTCCATTTTTCTGGCTTTTATGAATAATGACGCTATGAACATTCATGTGTAAGTTTTTGTGTGAACATGTGTTTTGGGTGTATTCCTAGGAGCAGAATTGCTGGGTCATATGATAACTGTATGTTTAACCTTCTGAGGTATTGCCAAACTTTTCCACAGCACCTGTGGAAACTTTTTTCTATAGTTTCACAAACAGTGCTTACTCACTGCCGTAGAGTCAATACTGACTCATAGCGACCCCTCTTTTGGTTTCCGAGATGGTATCTCTATGGAAGTAGATTGCCCAGTCTTCCTTCTGAGGAGTGGCTGGTGGGTTTGAATCTCCAGGCTTCTGGTTAGCAGTCAAATACCTTAGGCACTACACCACCAGAGCAGTGCTTACGAGGGTTCAAATTTTTCTACATCCTCTCTAACGTTAGTTACCTGTCTTTTTTATTAGAGTCATCCTGGTGACTGAGAAGTTATATTTATTATGGGTTTTGTTTACATTTCTTTAAAGACTTATGATGCTGAACATCTTCTCGTGCTTATTGGCCAGTTGTATATCTCTTCTCTGGAGAAATGTCTATTCAAATATTGTGCGTGTTTTAAATTAGATTATTTATCTTTTTATTATTAGGATGTAAGAGTTCTTTATATATCCTCGATATACTCCCCTTATCAGATATGTAATTTCCAAGTATTTTCTCTCCTTCTCCAAGCTGTGTAAGAGTTTTTAATTTTCATGGAGTCCAATTTAATTATGTTTTCTTTTCTTGTATATGCCTTTGGTGTCATATCTAAAAAAACCATTGCCTAATCCAGTGTCACAAAGACTTAGTCATGTGTGTCCTCCTGAGAGTTTTATCATGTTACGTCTTAGTTTCTTAGCACTGCTGTAACAGAAATATCACAGGTGGGTATCTTTAATGAACAGAAATTTATTTTCTCACAGTTTAGGCTACAAGTCCAGATTCAGTGCTCCAGCTGTGGGGGAAATCTGTCTTTCTCTGTCAGCTCTGGGAAAATGTCCTTGTCTCTTTTCATCTTATGTTCCTTGGTTCCTTGGTGATCTTCATATAGCATGGCATCTGTCTTCCCCACTCTGTGCTTCCTTGTTTCTGGGCCTTATCTGTTCTTTTTATATCTCAGAAGTACTTGGCTTAAGATACACCCCATGCTGATATGACCTCATAATGTAATAAAGAAAACCCTATTCCCAAATGGGAATACATTTAGATCCATAATCTATTTCGAGTGAATTTTTGTGCTTGGTATAAGAAAGAGGTCCAACTTCATATTAGATAAATGATTTGTAATTTTTTTCCCCACTCTGTAGATTGTCTTTTCATTTTCTTGTGCTATCTAGTTCTTGTAGGGCTCCAGAAAACTGTTCCCTTTTTTGTTGGCTATAATGAGTCATAACAGAGCCAGAGAAAATATGTGTCCAAATGTCAGAGATGTGTTTCAACAGATGCCTACCTATTGAGGACAGCAAAGCCCTATTCATGCTATTATTCAAGAAGAGAGAATGCACTAATTTTCCTTGTAGAAACTCTTACTGAATTCTACAAAGCAGTGTTTTTTGAGAGTGTGGGAAATCCAGGGGAATGTTTGCCTTGATTGTGAATGTATTTTGTTCTCATTGCCTGTACACCTTCTATCTTTCGTAGGCTCGAGTTGGCTTACCAGAAGTCACACTAGGACTTCTTCCTGGTGCAAGAGGTACCCAGCTTCTCCCCAGGCTCATTGGCGTGCCTGCTGCACTTGACTTAATTACCTCAGGTTAGTACTTAATGGCAGCTAACAACAATGGTACAAACCTTGTCATTAGCTGATTAGATCAATGTGAAGAACTAGACTAAGATTTAGGAAAATTCCAGCTTAACCACTTTTTACCCATGTAACTGTAAGAAGATTCTTTAACTTCTTGGATTCAAAATTTTCTTGTTGGTAAAGTGGAAAGAATACCTTCTCTGAGAGCTTCTCAAATGTTACCATGAAGATCAAATATAAAAGCCTTCTGAATAAAAGTGTATGCAAAGCACTAATCAAATGTGGAGTTTCATGGTGGCCCAAGTATCTCTTCATAACTAGAGAGTCTCAGTGTTCACAGAGGGTGCATTATATTCAGATCTAATTAGGAAATTGTGATGTAAATAGAACTAAAACCAGAATTTTCAAGGCAAGTTTTCAAGTTTTAGTGTGGAAATGATTTGTTGTTGTTGTTGTTATGTGCCGTGGAGTTAGACCCGATTCATAGCGACCCCTCCTTGGGTTTCCCAGGCAGTATCACTATGGAAGTAGATTGCCCAACCTTC